CCCCACACCCAACGCTCTTGTACTCTGGCGTAAATAACATTTTCCCGCGCCTTTTCTGTTGCCTTCTTCTAGAACTCGATCAGCACTTTTGAGTGGAATCTACTCAACTTTGGCGCGTTTTTGGAACCATCTGGAAATACTTTCAAATGTGCTTGTATAGGTTTATGTGGGTATATGTACGCATGCACGACTATGTGTTAGTTTGTGTTATGTATGTGTGTATGTGTGTGTGCGCGCGCGCATGTGTGTGTGTGTGTGTCTGTGTGTGTTGGAGAGAAAGAGTCAGAGAGAGAGAGAAAGAAAGGGGGTGAAGAGATGGAGACGAGGCGTAATTATTTTGTCACAGACCAACTTCAGAGTATTGTCAGTGTCACAGACTGCCCCTTTACATTTCCAGAATCAGTTAGTGCCAGACTGGTGATATGTGTTCAACAGTAATTGAAATTGTTTTAGTCTAATTCTCTGCACGAGTGCTGCACGTCAATCTGGCGATAAGATTTCTGGTGTGGCCTTCTCCTTTCACATCTTCTCTGCACTGCCTTTGTTTTATTCTGCTTCTGGCGAAGTATGCTTTGTTTTGTGTCGTTTCAGTATTGTCATGTTATGTTGAATGAGAGTGGAATGGGTGGCAGGTGCCCTGGTGTGGTTTGGTCCTTTCCTATCGAACCTCAATCATTCTGTTCTCTTCGTCTTGTTTTCTTTGTAAGTATGTCTCTCTCTAGTTGTACCTCTAATCTTCGGCACGTATATGACCTATTTTATTATTTATGTTGCAAGTGCCGTCGAACTCCTGCCAAAACTAAACTTGAATGTAGATATCAGGACAGTTACCGGCGTCTATGGTGTAACAGTTAGGCACTTTGTTGTCGCACGCGTAAGACCCGAGTTCAATTCCCGTGTGGAGAGAATTTTTGTCAAGTATCTCGGTCTTTCTGCTGGGACGTTGTTTTCCTCTCAGCCCGAGTTGGCCCTGATTCATCTAAGCTTTGTCGACGGGGGCGTAGAGACACCAACTTAAAATGAAAGAAAAAAAAATCCGATGCTTACGTGCAATGTCAAGTTCAAACCCATGTACGGACGAATATAAATGATAAGTAGAAGCCTGAAGTATTGCGTCACATACGTACGTCGACCTTTTTTCAGCTTGTTTGTTGGCTCGTTGCTACTTAGCGTAACGTGTCCTTACATCTCA